GTGTGTGTGTGTGTGTGTGTGTGCGTGCATCTGAGCACTGAACATGGGACCTCATGTCTACTAGGCAAGTGATCTGTCAATCTATTGAATCACTAAATGAGTGGATATTTAATGCATTTTTAACTTCTAAATTTTTCCCATCAGGCAGGTTCATGAGAATATAAAGCCACATGTGACTGTTGCATTCATGCACAAGGTCGAGCCAGTCGATAATTCCAGCATGGCATTCCCCTCAATGAGAAGCTGCAGGCTACTGGTGGCTGCTAAGGGAGGGGAAGTCACTTTTCTTTGGGGCATTAGCTGATTCTAGATTAGCCTCGCCCATGCACATGCAGACAACAGTGCCTGGATGTAATGAGGTAGAAAACCAGAGAACAAGAACATGAGACGGAGTTCTGGGGAGTGGGATGCCATCAAGACTCATATATGCATATATACATACATACATACATACATACATACATACATACATACATACACATACTTACATACATAATGTATGTATATATATCTATATCTTGCATGTGTATGCTTTAAAGTATCACACACAAGTGCATTTATATAGTACATATATGAAATAGTTGAAGATTAAATAAAAATACTTCATTTTTAAAAGAATATAGCCTCATGTAAGTACATAGACAGTGCATAGAACTATCTGTAAAGCTGAGCTATACCACGGCTACGACATGGTAATTCAGTTTGATGGCCATGAGCTCTTTTGTATGTTACTTAAACACATGGATGATAGTTGCACCACAGGACTGTACTGCAGTGGACCGTCCTCCCTCACTGTGAATGCCTTGTCCCTCACCCCGACTGTCTCTGTCCTCAGGGCTGGACATCCACTTCATCCACGTGAAGCCTCCCCAGCTGCCCTCAGGCCGCAACCCAAAGCCCTTGCTGATGGTGCATGGCTGGCCTGGCTCCTTCTATGAGTTTTACAAGATCATCCCATTGCTGACTGACCCCAAGACCCATGGCCTGAGTGACCAGCATGTGTTTGAAGTCATCTGTCCCTCGATTCCTGGCTATGGTTTCTCAGAGGCATCCAGCAAGAAAGGTACAGGGTTCTGAAAGGGGAATACATCCAGACTGTGCTATGTCATCACAGTGCCTGCTAGGGGCAGCAACACCCTGAGCCCTATGCTGTGTGACTCACAGACCCATTGGTGGCAGCAATGCCCTAAGGAACACATAACCAGGCACATTGGCCTTTCTTGGGGGCACCAAAGTTCCTTTTGTCTGGTCTCCTGTGAGGGACTTTCTTCTTAGCCTGGGGAAAGAAAGGTCTGGGGAATTTCCCAGGCTCCTTAGCACTGACCTATGACTCCATGTTCAGTGTTCACTGCACTGGTAAGTTGTCACATGCTGTTGGAGCTCAGTGAAGCGGGCTCTGGAAGCAAGGATGCTGACCCCCACTGGAGCCCCCATTAGAGACTCAAGGACACGTATCTCCAAGTGTTCTTCAGGACACAGAGTCCTGGGTCAGGCTGGCCCTGACTCTGCAATGAGGAGAGGGAAAACAGCAAGCAGCTCAGAGCACCAAAAACATTGCATCCCAAGGACAGCTGAGAAGACAAGCTTATTTCCAACAGATGCTGCTATTGTTTGTCCCATGACATAAAAATGCCTACAGTGGGAGGCTCATCCAAGGGGAGAAAATTCTCCACTGGGAATTCTAGCTGACTGCCTCGACTTCCCTCATTGACTTCTGCTGGATGTTTGCAGGCTCCCTTTGTTCCTTGCTTTCTCAGGGAGGTGCCTCCACTCACGTCTACAGCCTGTTGTAAACTTAGGATTGGATGAGGTTTTGCTATTTTATCTGCTGCTGCTGTACTCAAGAAACTTGTTCAAAGCCCAAAGTACAGCAACCGTAGACCATTCTCCAAACTGTATAGAACAGCCTGTCTGTCCCCTTCACACTCAGGTTTAAATTCAGTGGCCACTCCGAGGATCTTCTACAAGCTGATGTCACGGCTGGGCTTCCAGAAATTCTACATTCAAGGCGGGGACTGGGGGTCCCTCATCTGCACCAACATGGCCCAGATGGTTCCCAAGTGAGTCGGGGAGTCAGACAGGCATGGCGCAGCCTCGCCAGGCTCAGTGGGTGGGAGAATCCACACAAGACACAGGACTGCTTACCCTAGGCCCTCTTCAGCAGTGTCTGAGACTTGGCCAGGTCCCCCAATCCCAGATTCTTGTGGTCCTGGGACAGAGAAAACAGATCTTCCCTCATTGGGTGGGAGAGGGTGTGTTGACCCGTGGGATAGCTGTGAAGGCTGTCTGAAGCAGAGGAAGGGGTCTATAGTAGTCTCTCTGGGACAAGGTCTAGAACATTCTGAAGACAAGAACACTCTAAAACACTTTCCTCTTCCCCAAACACTTCCCTCCAACTCAGTGGATACCCAGAGAGACAGGGGCTGAAGGAGGCTGGCTTGTATTCTTCAGGTCTCTGGCCTCTCCCTTCTTCCTCCATCTCCTCTCACTCCTGTCCTTCATAGCAGCCAAGCTGACCTGTGCCCATTCCTCTGCCCACAGCCACGTGAAAGGCCTGCACTTGAACATGGCCTTCATTTCAAGAAGTCTTTACACCCTGACCCCTCTCCTGGGCCAACGTTTTGGGAGATTTCTTGGCTACACTGAGAAGGATATTGAGCTCTTGTACCCCTATAAGGAGAAGGTTTTCTACAGCATCATGAGGGAGAGTGGCTACATGCACATCCAGGCCACCAAGCCAGATACTGTAGGTAAGCACACCAGGGCAGTGGGGTCCGGAGGGAATCTCACTACCCCTGAGAACACAGCTTACAGCAAGAAACCCCTGACAAGGAAGCAGAAATCTTTGTTTTCTGTACTGAGAAGTGAACCCAGGGCATCACACTGAGTGACAAGTGATCTGTCATTCACCACAGCTACAATCCAATTAGGAGACACAGAGGCTAGGGGAATCCCACAAGTTTTAGATTAGCCTAGTCTACACAGTGAGTCCCAAGCCGTCTTGGTCTACATAGCCAGAGTCTTGACTCAAAATACAACAACAAACAAACAAACAAACACCAAAAACAAACACTAAAAATTTAACTCATAAGGAAATTGATGAGATGATCAAAATATAGTTTGCTCAATGTATTTGGAATATAAATTTGTTTACTCCTGGATACAGAATTCATTAACTCCTACATAATAGCCACATTGGTCTGTAACCCAGATGCTCTGGAGGCTGCAGCAAGAAGATCCAGAACAGCAAGACCTGCCTGTGTGCCTTAGGCTGCTACCAAATCTCAGAGCAAGCAGAGATATTGGGGAGTAGGAGCATATTGGTCTGAGACCTGTTAAATCCCTGTGTGCAGCCATCAGTACAGAAGAACAAAATACCTCTAAAGAATGTAGGCTATCTTAATATCCAAGAATCATTGTATCTTCCTAGTTTTCTAATGTTTAAAGAGTTGTAAAGAAGCTAAAAGGCAAAGCTAGGTGGGACCACTCATAGAACAGTGATTTTCAACCATCCTAATGTTTTATCCTTTAAAAATAGTTCTTCATGTTTTGATCCTCAACCATGAAATAATTTTTGTTGCTATTTCTTAACCGTAATTTTGCTACTGCTTTAAATCATCATGTGAATACCTGATATGCAGGATATCTGATATGTGACCCCTGAGAAAGGCTCATTTGACCCTAAAAATGTGATGACCCACAGTTGAGACTTGCTGCCCTAGAAGATCCAAGGACTGTCAGGTGTTCCCAGCATGGCCCCCCAGTTCACTAAGAGGACACCTGGGAGTCATTTTGCCCACTGTGGAGCCTCCCACAGTCCCCATGGTAGCACCAGGCCCAGAGCAAGGAGAGCTACGGATCATAACAGCAGAATATAAAGTCAGGCTTTCCTTCCAGTTACAAAGCAGATGATTGCTCTATACCTAGAAGTGTGAAAAAATCCAAAATACAACTGATAGAAGTCAGTCTCCAGCTCTCCTGCCTTCCAGCTGCACTCCCCAGAAGAGCTTGCTTTCATTGTCCCTTACACATGTTGTAAACACAGGTCCCCATGTGCCCAGACACAGTTGTTGGCCTCTTTCAGGACCTGTATAGTCAGTCCCCCTGCTCCCCTAACGAGGGGTCCTAGGGCCCTGTGGCCTGTGCTTATCCTTCGGGGACTGAAGCCACACAGCATCGACTCTGGGTTCTTGCTCCTTTAGCGCAACATGACTCTTGTGAGGTTTCTGTACTTTTATCCCAGCCATGATTTTTAATGCTGGTCACGGTAGCCAGAGCCTCACTGATGCTAAACTTCCAGTGACTACCTCTGGACCCTGCTGTTCCAGTGACTGCAATTGTATTGTAACTCATGGTATATTAATATTTATTTGTAACTATCAGTTTTACACCAAGATAGAGCCCATATGGTCTGTGAATCCTATGAGATTATAGGGAACACTGATCTCCACTTGCTGGATGAGGCTCTCAGGCCAGGGCTCCAGATGTAGGGCACACAGCTGTACCTGTTGGCCCTCTGTGGCACCCACATACCTTTCTCCTGGAGTCACATACTCTCTGGGGCCAGGCTTGACTCCCTCCCTTGCTCGTCCCCATCCAGGCTGTGCTCTGAATGACTCTCCCGTGGGCCTGGCTGCCTACATCTTAGAAAAGTTCTCCACCTGGACCAAGTCAGAATACCGGGAACTGGAGGATGGAGGCCTGGAGAGGTGAGGCCCCACCACCCCGCTGTCAGACTTGTTGCCCAGGCTCTGCCTCTGTCCTCTCACATTCTGTCCCTGTCTCCAGGCACCCGATGGAGGGAGCCAGCAAGCTTCTTCAGTGCATGGCTTTTACACCTCCTACTCTGGAGCCTTGTAGGGGATAAGGAGGTAGACACAAGAAAGGGACAGTGACTTGTTCAGTCCCCTCCTTGCTGATGAAAAAAATACATGTGTCGGGAAGTTCCCACAGCAGCAAATACCCTTTACAGCAGAATAGCTGAGCCCTGTCACTCAGGACCTATGCAGCCTGTGAGTTCTGTGGCAAGCAATGGGAAGGGACAGAGCTCTGAGAGTGCATGGGTGTGAAGGTGAACTGCTGTGCTCTCTGACACAATGTTGTGTCACAGGAGCTTAGCCTGGTGCCAAGCTCCTTCTTGGTACTGTCACACTGAGAGGCAGAGACTGCATGGCATCTGAGTCAGGGGTCCATTCAGAGCCTGGATCCACAAAGGCAGAGCTTGGGGAAGATTTTGTATGGAAGACATAGTTCCATGTGGTCTGGTTGATCTGCGGTAGATATCACAGAGAATGTGAATAGCAGCATCAAAGGATGCTGGGAAGTCTTGTTGACTGCAGAGAAGGGACAGAAAAGGACAGAGGGACAGACAGACTAAGAGGACAGAGCCCAATAAGAGCCTCACTCCTACAGATGCAAGCAATAGGAGAAGTTTCAGAGTGCAGGACTGAGAAGGGATAGCAGTAGAGGTGGGGTGGGGAGGGCAGCTGGTAGAAGGGTAACATTAGACCAGACAGTGCAGCCAGCCCAGGGAAGAGGGGCTAACACGGCCAAGGAGGCAGATGGGGTAATTCACTGGCAGATCACAATTCTCGTGGGGCAGAAAACCCTTGACATTCTAGCCCCAAACACAATGGGCATTGATGTCTTCTAGACTAAGATGTTCTCAAAAAGGGTGGCAAGGGAGGTTGGGCTGTGGTAGACCCATGGCCCATCAGAACATATGCAAGGCTGAGACCTTTGGAGGAATCGGCAGCTGGGATTGAATGGCCACCAGGGTTAGGAGGCCACTTGGAGCTCCAGCTTGTCACAGTTAAGACTCAGAAGACCATAGGCCTGATGTCAGTGAATGTCACAGAAGGTATGAGAGCACCTGCAGTGGGCAGGCTAAAGCCAAGCACAATGGCTCTTCTACAGCAAAGACGGCTACCTGGAAGTGCTGGAGCTGTTCTCTGTGGAAGGCCATACCTGTGAGTGGCAGGTATCAGTCTTCAGTCCTTCCCTGGGCTCCCAGCATGTGAGAGCTAGGCATTGTCTGATGTGGGGACCCTGAAGGGGCAGCCCTTTGTTCTTGACAGCCAGAGTTTTCACTGAGCCTGGATTTCCTGTGCGCTTTCCCAGGAAGTTCTCCCTGGAAGATTTGCTGACTAACATCATGATCTACTGGACAACAGGAACCATTGTCTCTTCCCAACGCTTTTACAAGGAAAACTTGGGTCAGGGACTCATGGTCCATAGACATGAGGGGTAAGCCTGGCTGAGCAGGGAGGGGACCCCTGGGGCTGGAGGATGGTTACCATCTGTCCTTTAACTCAGAGAAGGCTTGATGGCAAGGTGAGGAAGATTCTAGACATCCTGAGTATCCACTCCTTCAGGTCGTGGCCTGCTGTCAGGCACTTTGGGATTCAAAGGCCCATATAGAGACCTTCAGGTGAGAGCAAAGCGATAGCCCACCAAGGTAGGCATTAGAGAGTAGTGAAAGCACTTGACATCACGGCTCCATTTGACCCAGCCGAGTCCTCCCCAGGTCTTGAGAGTCTGCTCTGGAAACAGAAAACACAACGCCTCACCTTGTTCCTCTTCTCCACAGGATGAAGGTCTTTGTGCCGACCGGCTTTTCAGCCTTCCCTTCTGAGCTACTGCATGCCCCAGAAAAGTGGGTGAAGGTCAAGTACCCCAAACTCATCTCCTATTCCTACATGGAACGTGGGGGCCACTTTGCTGCCTTTGAAGAGCCCAAGCTTCTGGCCCAGGACATCCGCAAGTTTGTGTCCCTGGCTGAGCTGCAGTCATGACACTAGATACCAATTAGCAGCAGCCCTGATTTCTCCTGAGTCACACTTATAGAAGATGACCTTTTTCTGAGGAATAAGTTTGTCCCCTGATCATACTGGGGGACCCAGTCTTAACCCCACCAAGTCACCTCTTACCCTCCCCATATGTTCACCCCACTGTATAGCTGTGTTAAGCTACTTGGCTTTAATGATAAATGGATTTATTTCTGAGAGTGTATGGTTCAAATGCCACGTGTTTCTTCAATACCCACATGGGCCTTCCATTCTAAGAGAATTGCCATGGGCTCCCCCTCCCCTGTCTTGGAGAGTCCTGCTGGGCCCTCTGAACTTGGCCCTGCTGCCTAGGGCAGAGGGAAAGTTAGGTGCCACCAGCAGTCAAGGCCATGCTGCACTAGGCAGCCTCAGTGACTACTGGCACCTCTTGAGCCTCTCACGGCCCACAGGACACTGTGAGCAGAGGTTGTATGGCTGGCAACTGTCTGTGAGAAAGGCCAAAGTATCCCAGGCCCAGCCATGTCTCCAAAAGAGCCCAGAGTGGTCTGCAAACTGTTTGGTCCCATGGTGCTCAGATGAGGTAGAAGGAAGGATCCCCCGTGCTTGGCTCTGTTCCACCTCATCAGAGCCTCTTTCTCTACCCCAGAAGACCTCCCTGTCATGATCCTATGCCTTATGCATTCCCAACGGGCAGCATTGAGAATACTGTCAGCCAAATGTGGCTGCCTCACTCCAACTGGGGACAACACAAGGGGCTGCCTGACCTTCTGTAGTTGGCGGTTTCAGGACTGGGGGTCCTCCAACCCCCAACCTGTGCCCCCCACTCTCCACCTCCTCTCTGTCTTCACATCCTTCCAGGAGCCCCATGGCACTGCCCCTCCCACCTTAGAAAGAACAGCCACTTGAGGAGCCTGCTAGGATCCCTAGGAGGGCATAGATATGGGGTCGGACCAGCTGGACCCAGTTGGAACTTTATTTATAGTGTTCTATATCTCTGTTTACTCTGGTGACTTCAAGCCTCCACTCAGATCCAGCCAGAGTTCCGGGTAACATGATATGAAAACCCAGAACAACATATGTAGAGATATGTGTACAGTCCCTAAGTGGGACTGCACTGGGGCTCTGGAACCTACCTGGATTCCCTCTCAGAGCCAACTACTGCAAGATAGCAACAGAGATGCTTCCCTCTGTTCTCAGAGGAAACACATGATGTCCTGGTGCTGCATTCTGGGAGGTTCCCACTTTATATGGGAAACCAGGCTGACTGTGGAGACGAGTGTGTGTCAGCTATACTCCTCCCTGACACAGGCTCATAATGAGGGCTCTCTTGCAGCCCTCTGCTGTTCAAGGCCCTCAAGTGTCCCTGGATAATGATGGTCTCTGTGGACTTTCTCATCAGGGTTCTCATGGTGTTGGCAGGGCCTCAGATGTCCTTTAGTAATGATGGTATCTGGAGACCTTCTCATCAGAGACTTGTTCAAGGACAGACTATTCTAAGAAGAGTCTCTGACCTCAAGCAGATATCAGCTGGAAAGTCCAAGGCTGCTTTCCTGCTCTGGGTAGCCACCATTACTCTTCTGAGGTCCTGAGGCTCAGAGACTCGGTCTCTCCCTATAGTAACATCTGAAGGCTAAAGAAGAGGAGGCCTGGGAAGGATGGGGGTCCTGACATCCCCTGGTGTCTTGTCTGGCACTTCCCTCTGTAGCAAATGCCAAATATGACTGCTGAACTCAGAAGGGTGAGTGTTTGCCACCCCCTTGTGGCTGTCAGAGGACCTCACATGGGCACATGAACAGCAAGTGACAAAGCTTCAGTGACCCACGGAAACTTCTGTTGTGGCTCTACTGAAGGCCCAGTTCTCCAGGCAGTGGATCTGAGAGACGGCCAATAAGGAAGGCACTTCAGCCCAGAGGATGGGCATCCATCCTACAAAGCTGCCCTTTTACCTACAGAGGAGGTCTTTAGATTCCCAACAAATAGATAAATGAAACTGCTGAAGCCTTACCCGCCATTTCCTGCACAATGTGACTGAGTCCTGCACAGTGTGTAGTGCTACACTATCTATGTAAAGCAAGAATTTCTTTTTCTTCTTCATAAGTCTGTGGAACAAAGATTTGATCTTCAAGGGTCTCACTCAGCATTTGGTATCTTTTTCTTCCTTCATATGTCAAAAACATTCACTCTTCACATGATGGAATCTATTTGAAGTCCCTTCTTGGTAGTTCGAATGCCACATGACTCCCACTGGGGGCATCAGTAAGTGGGGTGACATCAACTGGCCCCAAACACAGGCCGCTGGTCTGGTTGACAGTCCTGAGACTGGAGAGGAAGGGGCAGGAAGCTAACCTGGTGCGGTTATACGGGAACAGGCTCACACGGGGCGTGGTAGGCACAAAACTATCTACGGTGGCTGATGTGTGAACACTCAGGAGTTTATTTCTAAAAGGAGATACAAATTTGAAAGAAAGCCAAACTAACCCTATTTCTAGAATACATGATCCTATCTTAAAAGACCCTAAGGGAGGCTAGGAATGTCTCCTCAGTTAATAGCACTGGCTGGTCTTCCAGAAGGACCTGGTTCCCTCCACACAAAAGGAGACAACTGGGTAAAGCTGTCATGGGTCATCCTAACATCCTGAATGCCCTTTCTTTAGGTGGGGCTTCAGCAATGATCTCTTGGCATCTGATGTCTGGCCATTGCAGTTCAGTTTGCTGTCTGAAGGCCAGAGTAGTAACTGCCCTGTGCACACAGCAGATTAGCTGAGTCACTGGGACTGTGCAGTTGTACAAAGTGAGAGGGGTGGGGACTCATGCTCAGTCTGCCCTGCCTCTCCCAGGGCTCTGGATGCTATTGTGTACAGAGCTCTACAGGCCTGCTGCGTCAAGAGGACTCAGGGTGCCAGCACTGAGCCCTGGTGGACAGCAGAGCATGCTGGGATGATTCTGCCCAGAAAAGGGAAAAGGCCTGGCTTGTGTCCCCAAGGAGACAACAGCAGTATGTTGGTCTCTCCCAGCTAAAGGCGGGTAGGGGGCTGATTTTCAAGTTCCCTGGGCAGGTTGGCCATCTCTCCTGCTGCCTCTACTTGCTGTTCTCCTGATGACATCATGCAAAACTGTTCTCATTTGCTTCCAGGACCTGAGAGCTGTGTCTGAAGTGACAGTGGTTGTCTGTGCTGGCTGTGATGCAGGGCCCTGGGGACATAAATGTATAAGAGGTTGTGTCTTCTACTGATTGGTTGTAATAAGGATCTGACAGCCAATGGCTAGGCAGGAAGTACTAGGGCAGAACTTTACAGAGAGGACACAGTGGGGGAGTAGATGGGGGTATTCAGAGAGTGGACATGGAGGGATCAGAATGGATCAGAGCTGAGCAGAGAGGTACGGAGCTAGCAAGAGAGGTGACAGGAGCCGAGAGGGACATAGTCTCACCTTCCGGAAACAGGGTCTGTGATGTTCTCAGTCTCAGGCTGAGTGAACTAAAAGCATCTGCCCTGCAGCCAGGGAGCTTGCCCGCCATGTTCCCACAGTCCCTGCACATACCCAGCCTCCAGTAATAATAGTTACACGACTTCTCTTAGAGTTTACAGCTTAGGCCTTTTGCTGGGGCAGTCTCCCAGCTAGTTCATTTAACCTAAACGGACTATCTAGCCTGTAACTTGCCATGTGGCTAGCTCCTCTGAGGAACCACCACACTGATTTCCAAAGTGGTTGCACCATCTTGCAGTCCCACCAACAATGGAGGAGTGTTCCTCTTTGTCCACAGCATGGAATTCTCCCTCGCCAGCATCTACTATCACCTGAGATTTTAATCTTAGCCATTCTGACTGGTGTAAGATAGAATCTCAGGGTTGTTTTGATTTGCATGTCCCTGATGACTAAGGACACTGAACATTTCTTTAGGTGCTTCTCGGGCCATTCGAGTTTCTTCCGTTGAAAATTCTTTGTTAAGCTCTATACCCCATTTTTTAATAGGGTTATTTGGTTGTCTGGAGTCTAATTTCTTGAGTTCTTTGTATATATTTGATATTAGCCCTCTATCAGATGTAGGATTGGTAAAGATCTTTTCCCAATTTGTTGGTTGTCGTTTTGTCCTATTGACAGTGTCCTTTGCCTTACAGAAACTTTGCAATTTTATGAAGTCCCATTTGTCAATTCTTGATCTTAGAGCATATGCCATTGGTGTTCTGTTCAGGAACTTTTCCCCTGTGCCCAAGTATTCGAGGCTCTTCCCCATCTTCTCTTCTATTAGTTTCAGTGTATCTGGTTTTATGTGGAGGTCCTTTATCCACTTAGACTTGAGCTTTATACAAGGAGATAAGAATGGATCAATTTTCATTCTTCTACATGTTGTCCTCCAGTTGAACCAGCACCATTTGTTGAAAATGCTGTCCTTTTTCCACTGGACAGTTTTAGCTCCTTTGTCAAAGATCAAGTGACCATAGGAGTGAGGGTTCATTTCTGGGTCTTCAATTCTATTCCATTGATCTTCCTGCCTGTCTCTGTACCAATACCAGGTAGTTTTTATCACTATTGCTCTGTAGTACAGCTTGAGGTCAGGGATGGTGATTCCCCCAGAAGTTCTTTTATTGTTGAGAATAGTTTTCGCTATCCTGGGGTTTTTTGTTATTCCATATGAATTTGAGAATTTCCTTTTCTAACTCTGTGAAGAATTGAGTTGGGATTTTAATGGGGATTGCATTGAATCTGTAGATTGCTTTTGGCAAGATGACCATTTTTATTATATTAATCCTGCCAATCCATGAACATGGGAGATCTTTCCATCTTCTGAGATCTTCTTCGATTTCTTTCTTCAGGGACTTGAAGTTCTTGTCGTACAGGTCTTTCACTTGCTTGGTTAGATTCACACCAAGGTATTTCATATTATTTGCAACTATTGTGAAGGTTGTCATTTCCCTAATTTATTTTTCAATCTGTTTATCTTTCATGTAGAGGAAGGCTACTGATTTGTTTGAGTTGATTTTATAACCAGCCACTTTGCTGAAGTTGTTTAT